ACTAGGAGTCTGCAAGTTCAAATTTTGTCCACCGCCTTGCCTGCCAATCCAACTCCAGCATCCAATATTTTTGTTTTGGAAGTCGATAAAATCTTTGTGGCCGTTCCGTAGTACAAATCGTATGCATGTCTTACGATGAAATTCGTCCATCGCACGAGATATCATATTCTTTTGATCCTGACCTGTAATGCACAATAAACAGAAATTATTAAAACCACAAATAAATTTGAAAGCACCTTTTGCCGTTAGGCTGGGTCATGGTAGCTAATAATATTTAAATTTTTGTGTGAATTTTAAAAGAAAATGATTAAATTAATGTGAATTTGATATAATTCACACAATCAAAAAGGTTTACCATTATACGCTCAAACGTATACTTAAATTATTTAATACTTAATTGTTCATTTATAGTTGCCATTGAACAAAACCATATAACTGATTAATAATAATAACAGCATTATCATTTTATTTTACTTAATATTTGTTTATACAAGTTAAGGATATTAAGTCAGTAATATTAGAAATATTACTATACATGTATGTTGTCTAAAATTATCGATATAATCATAGAAAAAAACCTGAGTAAAAATGAGAATGTGATTGTCATGTCTTGTATGCTATGGATTCCTTTATTAAAAAGATGTCTGTTGTTGATGTACTCGTGTAAGAAATGTACTTAAAAAATTGTTAAATATATCTTACAAAATAACACAAAATGTTTATACATACAACGTATAACAGTACGTATCGTAAATGTGTATCAAGAAATAAAAATTTATTAATTTGCAAATTTAATTGTTTTTATATTCATTTATTTAATATTATATTATTGTACAACTACATCATGCAATATAATTTTTCATTATTCTTCCAACATATTCTCAAAATCATTAATAAAAATATATTAAAAATTCTTCTTTTATTATGTAGATTCAATTATGCTCGGAACTATTGTAGAAGTTCAAATATGTTACATAAAATTTGATTTAGATTCTAACATTCTCGATGTTACGAATTATATGTGTGCCTAATGTGATTTGATGACATTATAATTTTTTATTAAGCTACGTGAGAAACATTTATTTTTACAAATACTATTAAATTACAATAAATAATACTTAGCTATTGAATTTAAATTCGTTAATTTCGAAAGAAATGATACAGTACAAAATGTCTGAATTTTTTCGCAAAGATACTTACTGAATTGACCAGAAATGATGTAGGGAATAATGCGATTAGGCCAACGGCTAAATGGGTTAGCATCGCCATTTCTTGTGGTTCTATTTGAAAGCATGATATCTCCCTGGAAGTAGTTACCCAATTCCTCAGGATTCACCTTCATTTCCTTGGTCCATTGTGCTACCTTCACTCCTGTTTCGTGATCCGGTTCCGTCTTGTAATTCCCCTCAATATTCTTTGAGTAAGGGCTCGACCCCACCGATTCAAATATTGTGAGGACGAAAAGCGTCGACGTAAAAGTGACTAATAATCGACGCATGATGAGACAGTAAATAAAATTACAGCAAGTTACCTCTTTATTGATGGTCATACGACAGCAAAAGTGAATGCAGTAATATAATCATTCCGATCACTTCCCTTTTTATACCCTATGGCACAATAATTTTCATGCCCCACCTATGCCATTTTTGTTAGTGACTAATACGGGTATCATATCGCAAAATGCTATTTGACAACGCTAATTCACCGACGATTAGTCGATAGTCGATACAATTTTATCTGTAATATATATACAGGGTGTCCCAAAACTCTTAATTAATATTTTAAAGCGTCAAAGAAAATGAAATTTTGAACTAAAAGTTCTTTTATCAATTTTGGCTCAGACCATTTTATTTACAGAGTTATTAGTGTATAATGTTATTCAATCAGATCGCGCTTAGCCGGAGTAAGAAGGAGCATATCATGCCGTGTGTCTTATTTATTATTTACTTATTATTTCAATAAGAAAAAGTTTAACGGCCAAGAACTTATTAGAACTTTTACTTATTTATTAATATAAAAAATTA